ACTTGCAAAAATCAAAGACGAAAAGACAAAATTAGATAACTCCATTTAAATAATAAAATAAAATTAAAAACGTTATTAAAAAATTATTTATATATAGAAGTCTATCAAATATTTATCTATTATATTTTTTTTATTTTATTTTTTATATTGTTCGATTTACAACTAAATTATATCACATATATTCAAATAGTTAAATATTTAAATTCCATTTAAAGTAGGATTACATTTTACTATTTACCAAATTAAGATATTATTATTTTTAAATAGATAAATCTTTTGAAATGTGGATAAATCTAACTAAAAAGTTATTTTGTATTTGTATAAATTTAACCGATTGACTCAAACATGCCTCGATAAGATTAATTACCTTGTATAAAAATCCAAATTTTACTTTTACCATTTTAGTAATTATTAAATGTAAGAAAAAACCAAGCAAAAAGTAGAAAACAAAATTACTACACCTCATATCAATATTGTCAAAAAAAAAATCGAGTTAGAATGAATGATATTTAGCTCAGAAAACTAATATATATTGTCGTATTCTATTTCACATATCAAAAAATATAATAATCTATATTTCTGATGAAAATTCAAAACAAATAAGTTTTATGGAAAATATTATTAAAATTTTAAATTGCGTAGAATAGAGATAGCATAAAAGTATATAAATAAATGTGAAAATTTGGATATTTAAACTTAAATCTATTCAAACTAAAAGAAATTACATGTAGATTATAATATCTCAATAGAAAAAAATATTTAATTTATTGTTTTATCTATTTCTATTTAAAATCAAAATATATAATTGAAAAATATAAATAAATAAGTTTTTATTTAGAAAAGTTATTTGATACGTGGCAAAATCTAATTAATCTTTTTTAACACGTCTAAAAATCTAATATCAGCGGACCCAAATAATATCCCGATCTTATTAATTATCGTTTGAGGCATATGGTTTACGTTCAATCGGTTTAATATAATAAACAAACCAAAATAGCCGGTACAGAGTCAATTAGGGTACAGTTAGCTTCCACCCCCGAACTTGTTCATCTGGAGAGTTTTGGTACAATTTGTTGAAATCACGAGCTGTGTTGAAGAATTGGTTTCGTAGTTTCCGCCATGGATATTGATGTCGGACCCGTTGATCCATCTGTCCTCTACGAGCAAGATCTCCATGTTTCTTCTTCTGTTTGGGAAGGACAGGTTTTTTTTCTCCATTCCCTTATCTTTCGATTTTGTGATTTCGAAATTTGGATTGAATCTTGTTTCTTTTGTTTCACCAAGGAACGAGGGCTGCTTCGTTGCCAAGAACACACTTCACTGCTTCATCAATGGAAACTCACTGATGAACAGATTAAGCTCGTGGACAAAGCTGGTTTCGGATTCTTCCGCAAAATCGGTCCTATGAGTCTAAACAATTCGCTAATCTCTGCGCTCGTTGAGCGATGGAGAAGAGAAACCAACACGTTTCACCTTCCTTTAGGAGAAATGACCATAACCTTAGACGAAGTTGCTTTGGTTCTTGGACTTGAGGTTGATGGAGATCCCATTGTTGGTTCTAAAGTAGGAGATGAGATTGCTATGGATATGTGTGGTAGGCTTTTAGGGAAACTCCCATCTGCTGCTAACAAAGAAGTTAATTGCTCCAGGGTTAAGCTTAATTGGCTTAAGAGAACGTTTTCCGAGTGTCCTGAGGACGCTTCTTTAGATGATATCAAACGCCATACTCGAGCTTATCTTTTGTATCTTATAGGGAGCACCATTTTTGCTACTACTGATGGTGATAAAGTCTCTGTCAAGTATTTGCCTTTGTTTGAGGATTTTGATAAAGCCGGGAGATATGCTTGGGGAGCTGCTGCATTGGCTTGTCTTTACCGAGCCCTTGGCAATGCATCGCTCAAGTCTCAGAGCAATATTTGCGGTTGCTTGACATTGCTGCAGGTTGTTCGCGGTTTTGGTTTTATGTCCATTTGAGATTTTGATATCCTTATGGGAAGTAACATAGTTTTTGTGTATGATTTGTTTCATATTTATATAGTGTTGGAGTTATTTTCACTTGGATATCGGTAGACCAGATAAATCTGAAGCGTGTTTCCCCCTCGCTCTTTTGTGGAAAGGTAAAGGTAGCAGATCCAAAACTGACTTATCTGAGTACCGCAGAGAGCTTGACGATCTCGATCCGAGCAAGGTAAACCATTCATTTCACCCTTAAGAACTTGCTTATTGCTCTTCATGTTAATTTGATGGTTGTGAAAATGCAGATCACCTGGAGCCCGTTTGATAGATTTGAGAACTTGATCCCTCCTCACATTAAAGCCAAGCTGATTCTAGGAAGATCGAAAACAACCCTTGTATGCTTCGAGAAGATAGAGCTACATTTTCCAGATAGGTGTCTGAGGCAGTTTGGGAAACGCCAGCCAATACCTCACAAAGTGAAACGCCGTGACAGAAAGAACCGGCGGCTCGATGACTTGGACACATCGATGACTGTAGCATGCGAGGAATGGGCTGAACGTGGGGAGCACATCGTGGACAGTCCTGGAGGTGGCAATGTGGTGGATGATGGAGCTTATATGGAATGGTATGCTCGGATCAGTATCACCAAACTATACCGAGAAGCGTTTCTCGAGTCCCAAGTCATGAATATGGTATAAAAATAGGATGAATCTTTGCTTTTAAAACATGCTATATTTGAAACCCGAAAAATCGATTTATATTGGTTTTATGTAGATTGCTTGTATGAGGGAATTTGAGGAAGCTGCTTCAGGGATTACGCTGGAGAGATTGTCTCCTGTAGAGAGGGAAGTTATGGAGAGTGTGAAAGATACTTTCTCTAACAATTTGACCTTTGGAGGATGGCAAGAGGTGACGGTTAACAGTGGTTATGGGAAGCGCCGGCGTAGGAATGAACAAACTCCGACGACGAATAATGGTGGTGGTAATGATCTTTCATCGCTTCTGCTTCAGGACACATGAAGCTTTTTTATTATTAGTTTACTTTTTTCTTCTTTAAAATGTTGCACTGTTTATAATATATATATATTATTGCCATTTCGCGAGGACTGGAGATAAAGGAAAAATAAAAAGAGGAAAAAATATATGCTTTCGTAGCC